GGACGCGGGTGGATTTGGACTCCGCAGAGCCGAGAGGTGCCCGCCCGACAGGCCCGACGGGCGGGCGGGCGGGCATTGCGGGCAACCCTCTGCCCCATTCCGCCCAAGGTAGGGACTCAAGGGCTGGACTGGGCCACAATTTCCCGGGGCGCAGGGCACCTGCCGGTTAGAGGCTGGAGGCGGCAGAGGTGGCGGGCCGCTGGGGAGCTGTGGCCCGGGGGTCACCGGAGGAGAGCTGTCTGGCTGCCGGGCTTGTCTGCCTGGGCATGAACTGGGCGCTGTGTGTTTTGATTAATTTGGAGGCTCGAGTTACCCGCCTGGCAGTCGGGACGCTCCGAAATGCCAACGGCAAGAGGCAGCCGAGGGGAAAGAGAAGGGCCATCCTATTGTCCGCTGAGCTGAACTGGATTTTCGGGCTAAATCTTATCTGCGGAAGTGCAGGGGACAACAGGCCGGACTCTGGTCCAGCGCGTCTCCCTCCTGAGAGAGCTCTTAGTGGAGGTGGCCTGGGGGACAGGGGTGCAGGGCCTGACTTGCGAGGGCACTTTCCTGGAGCAGGCTTCTTGTCCTTTTCTGTGCCATGGACCACACTGGTTCTGAGAAGCAGTTAGTTAGGCTCTTCTGAGAATCCTGCCAAGTGTGTAAATACAACGCAGCTAGCTCAGCCTCGGTTTTACTGGAGTAGCATTATGGAAGTACCAAGGTCGTGGTGTACTAACACCTCTGCGTCGTTGCGCATTACATATGGAATAGCTGGGTCTAACCGCAGGGTAATCGCCTGGATAGCGAAGCAGTGATGGCCACACGTGGTCTGTCGAGATAACTGTCCAGCCTGGAATGCGATGTGCAAACATCGAGAGCGCAGACTCTAGGAGCTGCCCCGTACTGCTGTGGTTTGTGGCCTATACTTGTAACTGAAGAATATGCTAAGCTTCTGTGAAAGATTTCTGAAAAGTAAAATGTAATATTCTTCCCACCCAAGTTTTCAGATGGCCTGGAGTCCATCCCCCTGTAAGAGCGAAGCCCTTTGGGCTTCGGAGCAGAGTTGCTGACATCTGCGGTGGGTGGTGGGAAGCGCCAGCCGGAACTCTGTGCTGGCTGCTGTTTGGACAGGACCACTTGCTTCTGATTAGACTTAGGGGCCAGAGGGCGGAACATGTGCCACTCGGTGAAGCTGACCCTTACCGGAAGGTTCTAGGTTCGTATCCAGAGACCTTCCCGAGCACAGCACTCTCGCAGAGCGCCCATGATTTGGGCTGGTCAAGGAAGGCTGGGAATGGATCGTGGGATGGAGTCTCTTTGGGAAGTATTCTCTCTCTGTTTCTGACTCTCTAACTCATGGAGGAAATAAATAAACTTAAAGAAAAATAATCAGAGTCTAATAGTATCTTATACCGTTGTAACCATGTAAGTAGGCAAAATCCCAGTAGTAAATACACTCCCCCCACTTTGTGTTAAACGTGGAGTGAATATTAGTCTTACCTCTGCTTCAAGTCAGTGGCTCTCAGCTGTAGCTGTGTGTTGGAATTTCCAGAGGAGCATCTAAAGTCCTGCTGCACAACCCAAGCTGGTTTCAGTATAGCAGAATCTCTAGAAGTGGGACTCAGGCATCAGTGTGTTCCAAGGTCCCTGGAGAGTCCCATGTGCCACCCTGGTTGACAGCATTGTTTTACGTGTATGTTTTGCTAGCTACCTTGAATTAGAGTCTCTCTCTCTCTCTCTTTTCCCCCAGGAGGTTTTTGTTATAGGGCACATCCACTCACCAGGGAGACAGGGAGAGAAAGAGAGATAGAAAGTGAGAAATCACCCCCCAGGGGTATAGCCACACCACAATCCCTTCTCCTCCCTTCTCCTCCTGGGATCATGGGCACACATGCACATGCACCTGGTGTGAGTTTGAAGCCACTCGGTCTGGGACTTGAGCTGTGGTTGGCCATATGGGAGTCCAGCAGCATAACTGTTATGCCATCTGCTGACCCTTGGTCTCTTCTTAGTAGAATAATAAAAATGACATATATTGAGCTCTTCATTAAGACTTACAAAGGCTGAACTTTGTATCCAGCATGTAGTACAAGATCAGTTCTCTCCTTTGATTGGGAAGGTTCTTGTGGTGCCTTCTGCCATCCTTGTAAGACACACCAGCAGGTGCTCTTTGATCGAGTGTCAGTATCCAAGAGGTTCAAGAGGCAGATGACAGACATTCATGGATTGACATTACTTCTTGAAAAATAGCACAAAAACAAAAGATCTCTTTGATAATATATGTCCCTTTTCTTTGTTATATTCCAGAAGACTTCTCATTTTACATTTTAATTGCTTTTTCCTGAAACCAAGTTGTTTTGAGGGAAGACCAGACACAGTTTTCTCAGCTTTTGTGTGGAGGCAGCAGTCACTTCTGATGCAGCAACAGAGCAGGGAAGAAACCAGTGGCGTGAATACAGTAAGGAGGCAACAGTGGTTAGGAGCTTGGTTTGGGGAGTAGGCTCTAGATTTCGAGTCATTTCCATGATCTAACCTTTGTAGGCTGGAGTCTCCCCTTCTGCCAGCTCAGGATGACCATGGTACCCACCTCAGGAAGTGGTAGCATCTAATAATCCATCAAAAGCCCTTTGGCCAGCATCTTCCCATAGCAATCACATATTGGAATCTGAATCTTCTGTTACATGAAGGAGAACAAGAGGACCTGCCAAGAAATGGTGGCACAAGTTAGAGATGCCCTTCTGAGCTTAGAACTAAAGGGAAGGAGAGTCAAACACAACCCACTAGCTCCCTCGAGGTTATTACGCTGCCTGGGGCCAGCAGCTTTGGCATCCCAAGTAGCCTATTAGAAATGCAGAATATTGGGGCCAGCAGATGGTATAGTGGTTATGTTTCTGGACTCCCACATGGCCGACCACAGCTCGATTCCTGGAGCTGGAGGCTTGAAAATCTCACTGAGCAAGTGTGCATGTGTGCCCAAAATCCCAGGATGAGAATGGATTACAGTGGAGCCATTCTGTCCTGGGGGGGGTCTGTTGATTTCTCACTTTCCCCTCTCACTGTCTCTGTCTCTCTCTTTCACCTGTGAGTGCACACACCCTATGACCAAAAACCTCTAAAAAAAAAAAAGAGAGAGAGAATGAAAGAGAAAGAAAATAAAAAGAAAGAAGGAAGGAAGAAGAAAGAGAGAGAGAAGAAGAGAGAAGCTTGGGGCCAGCGGGCAGTGTGGTACTTACAGCGGTGGGCTCTCTGATGGCTGACCACAGTTAGAGTCCCAGACCTGGCGGCTGGCTTTCTCAGTGTCCATCTCTCTCTTTCACATGCCCTATAGCAAAATTTAAAAATAATAATAATTAATAACATTAAATAGATAATTCTTTAAAAAGAAGAAAAAGAAATGTAGAATCTCAGGCTTCGTCCCAGACCTCTGAATAAGTTCCTGCATTTACCAAGATGTCCAAGTGATGCATGCACACCCGAATTTTGAGAAATGGCTTATCTAAAAGCCAGGTCTAGCCACCTGGTCCCCCAATCCCACGTTTCATACAATGTTTGGTATACACGTCAGGTGCTGTTAACCAGAATTCTTGACTTTTAAAAAATAGTCTTTGGGTCAGAAAAACTGATCCCCCTCCCCTTTTTTTTTCTTGGAGAGGTTTTTGCTATAGGGCGCGTGCGCTTGCCAAAAAGACAGAGAGAGACAGAGAGACAGAAAGCGAGAAATCACCCCCCAGGGGAAGATGGCCACGCCACAATCCCTTCTCTCCATTCTCCTCTCGGGATCTTGGGCATGCACACACATGCACTCAGTGTGAGTTTAAGCTATCAGGCCCGGGACTTGAACTGCGGTCGACTACATGGGAGTCCAGTGACATAGCCATTAGACTAACTGCTGGTCCCAGCAAAACTGATTTTTCATAGTTAGTTCTTTCAATGTAATAAGAAAAACCAGAAAGGAAGAGAGGTGTTTTGTTTTGTTTTGTTTTAATACATACAAAGGACACATCAATCTCTATTTTTAATTTTTTAAATTTTTTTTGTGTGTGTGTGCCATGGAGTGGCAGGAGAGAGAAAGAGAGACTACCCCCGCAATGGGACCTGGTCACACTACAACTTTTTTCCCTTCAATTTCCATCCCTTCAAGATCCTGGGCAGGGACCAGCTGATGGCATAATGGTTATGTCGCTGGACTCCCTCATTGTTAACTGTGTTTCAAGTCCTGGTCCCAGCGGCTTAAAACTCATGCTGGGCACGTGTGCGTGAGTGCCCAAAATCTCGAGAGGAGATTGGGGGAGAAGAGATTGTGGCTTGGCCATCCTCACTGGGTGGGGGTAGGGGGGAGGAGGTGAGGAGCGATTTCTCACTTTCTTTCTCTCTCTCTGTCTCTCCAATGAGCATGCATGCCCTATGGCAAAAATCTCTCTTCAAAAAAAAAACAGATCCTGGGTGCATGTACCCTGCTTGAGGCTGGGACTCAAATCCCTGTTGGCATAGGGGATCCAATTTTCTCTGCACAATTCCTAACCTTGGTGTTCAGGTGCCCCTGTTTTTAACTTTGATATCAGATAGGTGTTTTGGGCAAAATGAAATAGACACTGCCTTTGGCCAGCTGTGTATTATGTAATCATTTCCCCCTGTTTGGTAATCCCAAGACCATGTCTCCTTGCTGCACAATGTTGAAATATATCAGATCTACTTCCCTGCTTTTCAAGGTGAGCCCCCTGAGGGCAGGATCCTCTTCTGTGTTCTTGTC